GCGTGGTTGTGTTCGGTGCATTCCGCTGCTCGTTTTTGGTGCGGCGACGACACTTTGGTTCGTGGGTGGGCTGCGGTTGGAGCGGCTGGGGAGGCGGTCGCTGTGGCTGAGGGAGGGGATTCGGAGAGGAGGGAGCGCCGTTTTGGAGGTGAAGAGGAGGAAGCGCATGGGAGGTGGCTTGCAGGGGAGAGGCGGGCCGCGCGTGTCGGAAAATAGTGCGATGCAGCGGAGGAGGTGACTAGCGGAGGACAGGGCAGGTTGCGTGGGGGTGCGCTGTGGAAGGTCACCTGCGGGATTCGTCGGCTGTTTAGTCTAGTGGTATGATTCTCGCTTCAGGTGCGAGAGGTCTTGGTTTGGATTCCCGGAACAGCCCCTCGCCGTGGCGGATGGCTGCGCCAACTGCTGCTCACTTTGTCCCCGCCGCAATTGCTCCTCTAAACCGAGGTGGGTTGTGTGTGGTGGTTTGGCCGGTCATGAATGGAAGCTTGCAAGAAGAGGAGAAGGGCGTGGTTGTGTTTGGTGCATTCCGCTGCTCGTTTTTGGTGCGGCGACGACACTTTGGTTCGTGGGTGGGCTGCAGTTGGAGCGGCTGGGGAGGCGGTCGCTGTGGCTGAGGGAGGGGGTTCGGAGAGGCGGGAGCGCCGTTTTGGAGGTGAAGAGGAGGAAGCGCATGGGAGGTGGCTTGCAGGGGAGAGGCGGGCCGCGCGTGTCGGAAAATAGTGCGATGCAGCGGAGGAGGTGACTAGCGGAGGACAGGGCAGGTTGCGTGGGGGTGCGCTGTGGAAGGTCACCTGCGGGATTCGTCGGCTGTTTAGTCTAGTGGTATGATTCTCGCTTAGGGTGCGAGAGGTCTTGCGTTGAATTCCCGGAACAGCCCCTCGACGTGGCAGATGGGTGCACCAACTGCTGCGCATTTTGTCCCCGCCGCAACTGCTCATGCTGATGCCTCCTCCAAACCGAGGTGGGTTGTGTGTGGTGATTTGGCCGGTCGTGAATGGAAGCTTGCAGCACGAGGAGAAGGACGTGGTTGTGTTCGGTGCATTCCGCTGCTCGTTTTTGGTGCGACGACGACACTTTGGTTCGTGGGTGGGCTGCAGTTGGAGCCGGTCGCTGTGGCTGAGGGAGGGGGTTCGGAGAGGAGGGAGCGCCGTTTTGGAGGTGAAGAGGAGGAAGCGCATGGGAGGTGGCATGCAGGGGAGAGGTGGGCCGCGCGTGTCGGAAAGTAGTGCGATGCAGCGGAGGAGGTGACTAGCGGAGGACAGGGCAGGTTGCATGGGGGTGCGCTGTGGAAGGTCACCTGCGGGATTCGTCGGCTGTTTAGTCTAGTGGTATGATTCTCGCTTAGGGTGCGAGTGGTCTTGGGTTGAATTTCCGGGACAGCTCCTCCATGTGGCGGATGGATGCACCAACTGCTGCGCATTTTGTCCCCGCCGCAACTGCTCATGCTGCTACCTCCTCCAAACCGAGGTGGGTTGTGTGTGGTGATTTGGCCGGTCGTGAATGGAAATTTGCAGCACGAGGACAAGGGCGTGGTTGTGTTCGGTGCATTCCGCTGCTCGTTTTTGGTGCGGCGATGACACTTTGGTTTGCGGGTGGGCTGCAGTTGGAGCGGCTGGGGAGGCGGTCGCTGTGGCTGAGGGAGGGGGTTCGGAGAGGAGGGAGCGCCGTTTTGGAGGTGAAGAGGAGGAAGCGCATGGGAGGTGGCTTGCAGGAGAGAGGTGGGCCGCGCGTGTCGGAAAGTAGTGCGATGCAGCGGAGGAGGTGACTAGCGGAGGACAGGGCAGGTTGCGTGGGGGTGCGCTGTGGAAGGTCACCTGCGGGATTCGTCGGCTGTTTAGTCTAGTGGTATGATTCTCGCTTAGGGTGCGAGAGTTCCCGGGTTGAAATCCCGGGCCAGCTATTCGATGTGGCGGATGGATGCACCAACTGCTGCGCATTTTGTCCCCGCCGCAACTGCTCATGCTGCTGCCTCCTCCAAACCGAGGTGGGTTGTGTGTGGTGGTTTGGCCGGTCGTGAATGGAAGCTTGCAGCACGAGGACAAGGGCGTGGATGTGTTTGGTGCATTCCGCTGCTCGTTTTTGGTGCGGCGACGACACTTTGGTTCGTGGGTGGGCTGCAGTTGGAGCGGCTGGGGAGGCGGTCGCTGTGGCTGAGGGAGGGGGTTCGGAGAGGAGGGAGCGCCGTTTTGGAGGTGAAGAGGAGGAAGCGCATGGGAGGTGGCTTGCAGGGGAGAGGCGGGCCGCGCGTGTCGGAAAATAGTGCGATGCAGCGGAGCAGGTGACTAGCGGAGGACAGGGCAGGTTGGGTGGGGGTGCGCTGTGGAAGGTCACCTGCGGGATTCGTCGGCTGTTTAGTCTAGTGGTATGATTCTCGCTTAGGGTGCGAGAGGTCTTGCGTTGAATTCCCGGAACAGCCCCTCGACGTGGCGGATGGGTGCACCAACTGCTGCGCATTTTGTCCCCGCCGCAACTGCTCATGCTGCTGCCTCCTCCAAACCGAAGTGGGTTGTGTGTGGTGGTTTGACGGGTCGTGAATGGAAATTTGCAGCACGAGGACAAGGGCGTGGTTGTGTTCGGTGCATTCCGCTGCTCGTTTTTGGTGCGGCGACGACACTTTGGTTCGTGGGTGGGCTGCGGTTGGAGCGGCTGGGGAGGCGGTCGCTGTGGCTGAGGGAGGGGATTCGGAGAGGAGGGAGCGCCGTTTTGGAGGTGAAGAGGAGGAAGCGCATGGGAGGTGGCTTGCAGGGGAGAGGCGGGCCGCGCGTGTCGGAAAATAGTGCGATGCAGCGGAGGAGGTGACTAGCGGAGGACAGGGCAGGTTGCGTGGGGGTGCGCTGTGGAAGGTCACCTGCGGGATTCGTCGGCTGTTTAGTCTAGTGGTATGATTCTCGCTTCGGGTGCGAGAGGTCTTGGTTTGGATTCCCGGAACAGCCCCTCGCCGTGGCGGATGGCTGCGCCAACTGCTGCTCACTTTGTCCCCGCCGCAACTGCTCCACTAAACCGAGGTGGGTTGTGTGTGGTGGTTTGGCCGGTCATGAATGGAAGCTTGCAAGAAGAGGAGAAGGGCGTGGTTGTGTTTGGTGCATTCCGCTGCTCGTTTTTGGTGCGGCGACGACACTTTGGTTCGTGGGTGGGCTGCAGTTGGAGCGGCTGGGGAGGCGGTCGCTGTGGCTGAGGGAGGGGGTTCGGAGAGGCGGGAGCGCCGTTTTGGAGATGAAGAGGAGGAAGCGCATGGGAGGTGGCTTGCAGGGGAGAGGCGGGCCGCGCGTGTCGGAAAATAGTGCGATGCAGCGGAGGAGGTGACTAGCGGAGGACAGGGCAGGTTGCGTGGGGGTGCGCTGTGGAAGGTCACCTGCGGGATTCGTCGGCTGTTTAGTCTAGTAGTATGATTCTCGCTTAGGGTGCGAGAGGTCCCGGGTTCAATTCCCGGAACAGCCCCTCGACGTGGCAGATGGGTGCACCAACTGCTGCGCGTTTTGTCCCCGCCGCAACTGCTCATGCTGATGCCTCCTCCAAACCGAGGTGGGTTGTGTGTGGTGGTTTGGCCGGTCGTGAATGGAAGCTTGCAGCACGAGGACAAGGGCGTGGTTGTGTTCGGTGCATTCCGCTGCTCGTTTTTGGTGCGGCGACGACACTTTGGTTTGTGGGTGGGCTGCAGTTGGAGCGGCTGGGGAGGCGGTCGCTGTGGCTGAGGGAGGGGGTTCGGAGAGGAGGGAGCGCCGTTTTGGAGGTGAAGAGGAGGAAGCGCATGGGAGGTGGCTTGCAGGGGAGAGGCGGGCCGCGCGTGTCGGAAAATAGTGCGATGCAGCGGAGGAGGTGACTAGCGGAGGACAGGGCAGGTTGCGTGGGGGTGCGCTGTGGAAGGTCACTTGCGGGATTCGTCGGCTGTTTAGTCTAGTGGTATGATTCTCGCTTCGGGTGCGAGAGGTCCCGGGTTCATTCCCGGAACAGCCCCTCGACGTGGCAGATGGGTGCACCAACTGCTGCGCATTTTGTCCCCGCCGCAACTGCTCATGCTGCTACCTCCTCCAAACCGAGGTGGGTTGTGTGTGGTGATTTGGCCGGTCGTGAATGGAAATTTGCAGCACGAGGACAAGGGCGTGGTTGTGTTCGGTGCATTCCGCTGCTCGTTTTTGGTGCGACGACGACACTTTGGTTCGTGGGTGCGCTGCAGTTGGAGCGGCTGGGGAGGCGGTCGCTGTGGCTGAGGGAGGGGGTTCGGAGAGGAGGGAGCGCCGTTTTGGAGGTGAAGAGGAGGAAGCGCATGGGAGGTGGTTTGCAGGGGAGAGGTGGGCCGCGCGTGTCGGAAAGTAGTGCGATGCAGCGGAGGAGGTGACTAGCGGAGGACAGGGCAGGTTGCGTGGGGGTGCGCTGTGGAAGGTCACCTGCGGGATTCGTCGGCTGTTTAGTCTAGTGGTATGATTCTCGCTTAGGGTGCGAGAGTTCCCGGGTTGAAATCCCGGGCCAGCTATTCGATGTGGCGGATGGATGCACCAAGTGCTGCGCATTTTGTCCCCGCCGCAACTGCTCATGCTGCTGCCTCCTCCAAACCGAGGTGGGTTGTGTGTGGTGGTTTGGCCGGTCGTGAATGGAAGCTTGCAGCACGAGGACAAGGGCGTGGTTGTGTTCGGTGCATTCCGCTGCTCGTTTTTGGTGCGACGACGACACTTTGGTTCGTGGGTGGGCTGCAGTTGGAGCCGGTCGCTGTGGCTGAGGGAGGGGGTTTGCAGAGGAGGGAGCGCCGTTTTGGAGGTGAAGAGGAGGAAGCGCATGGGAGGTGGTTTGCAGGGGAGAGGTGGGCCGCGCGTGTCGGAAAGTAGTGCGATGCAGCGGAGGAGGTGACTAGCGGAGGACAGGGCAGGTTGCGTCGGGGTGCGCTGTGGAAGGTCACCTGCGGGATTCGTCGGCTGTTTAGTCTAGTGGTATGATTCTCGCTTAGGGTGCGAGAGGTCCCGGGTTCAATTCCCGGAACAGCCCCTCGATGTGGCAGATGGGTGCACCAAGTGCTGCGCATTTTGTCCCCGCCGCAACTGCTCATGCTGATGCCTCCTCCAAACCGAGGTGGGTTGTGTGTGGTGATTTGACAGGTCGTGAATGGAAATTTGCAGCACGAGGACAAGGGCGTGGTTGTGTTCGGTGCATTCCGCTGCTCGTTTTTGGTGCGGCGACGACACTTTGGTTCGTGGGTGGGCTGCAGTTGGAGCGGCTGGGGAGGCGGTCGCTGTGGCTGAGGGAGGGGGTTCGGAGAGGAGGGAGCGCCGTTTTGGAGGTGAAGAGGAGGAAGCGCATGGGAGGTGGCTTGCAGGGGAGAGGCGGGCCGCGCGTGTCGGAAAATAGTGCGATGCAGCGGAGGAGGTGACTAGCGGAGGACAGGGCAGGTTGCGTGGGGGTGCGCTGTGGAAGGTCACCTGCGGGATTCGTCGGCTGTTTAGTCTAGTGGTATGATTCTCGCTTAGGGTGCGAGAGGTCCCGGGTTGAATTCCCGGAACAGCCCCTCGACGTGGCAGATGGGTGCACCAACTGCTGCGCATTTTGTCCCCGCCGCAACTGCTCATGCTGATGCCTCCTCCAAACCGAGGTGGGTTGTGTGTGGTGGTTTGACGGGTCGTGAATGGAAGCTTGCAGCACGAGGACAAGGGCGTGGTTGTGTTCGGTGCATTCCGCTGCTCGTTTTTGGTGCGGCGATGACACTTTGGTTTGTGGGTGGGCTGCAGTTGGAGCGGCTGGGGAGGCGGTCGCTGTGGCTGAGGGAGGGGGTTCGGAGAGGAGGGAGCGCCGTTTTGGAGGTGAAGAGGAGGAAGCGCATGGGAGGTGGCTTGCAGGGGAGAGGCGGGCCGCGCGTGTCGGAAAATAGTGCGATGCAGCGGAGGAGGTGACTAGCGGAGGACAGGGCAGGTTGCGTGGGGGTGCGCTGTGGAAGGTCACCTGCGGGATTCGTCGGCTGTTTAGTCTAGTGGTATGATTCTCGCTTAGGGTACGAGAGGTCCCGGGTTGAAATCCCGGAACAGCCCCTCGACGTGGCAGATGGGTGCACCAAGTGCTGCGCATTTTGTCCCCGCCGCAACTGCTCATGCTGATGCCTCCTCCAAACCGAGGTGGGTTGTGTGTGGTGGTTTGACGGGTCGTGAATGGAAGCTTGCAGCACGAGGACAAGGGCGTGGTTGTGTTCGGTGCATTCCGCTGCTCGTTTTTGGTGCGGCGATGACACTTTGGTTTGTGGGTGGGCTGCAGTTGGAGCGGCTGGGGAGGCGGTCGCTGTGGCTGAGGGAGGGGG